GCCGACCAGTCAAGGGTCGCCGGCGGTCGGGGTGTGCAACACTGGGACACAGTGAAATCGATTCATCACGATCATCTCTTGCTCTTGTCAGACCCTCTCTGAATCTCTGCTCTTTTCTCTGTGACGCAGTTCCCAGACTTGTGTGAGTGTGTGTAGGTGCTGCAGCGGCATGGGACCTCCCTTCTCGAGGTGCACACAAGCACCCACACTGTGTGTTTGTGTCCCGCACGTCTATGTGTGCACCTCTCATGAAATGGAGCTGGTAGGGGCCCAGCGGCGTTTTTCTCATGTGGCACAGCGAACCTTCCTGTGGAACTTGGGAGATCTTAACACTGAAAATCGCCCGGATGCAAATCTGTGCAGGGAGCTTCTGCGACCTGTCTGGGTAACTCGTTTGGTCTGGTCGTCGGGGGCCCCGCAGCTGGCCCTGGTGGTGACCAAGGCATCAATAGTCTTCGCTCCAGGCTCTGACTGGATTGTCATCTTATTTATGTGTTACCTATGTGTAGGACACAGGGGTGGTATGTTGTATGAAGCTGGTCGTTCGTCAATGTTGTTTGCTCTGTATGCGTTGATGTTAATTGCGCTTCTAAAGCAAGTTCCGTGTTCTGTGTATGTTTGATCCTTACTGCAATAGAATATGGGGCTGATGGTCTTGCCTGTCGTAGGATTGTTGATCCTGATGGACCTTGTGTACTCATGTGCATCTACTGTGCTGCAGTCTGCACCGGAATGGAAAGCCACCACCAATGAGGATTTGTTATGTGATGTTCCACCACCTCTCTTCTCAGCGGTTAATCCACTTCCCGTAAGCAGACACTTGATTGCACAATCACTGATGTGATCATGATCTCCAAATGATAAGCATGTCCTGCACAGTAGTCACACTGATGATCAGCACCCCTTGATTGGTTGGCAACCGACCAGCTGACTGATCCACCTATTGGCATCTACCAGTCGGCTGTTGGTTGGCACCCCCTTCCCCATCCAAAAGAAAAGGAACCCCC